TTCAAATCTTGGTCCTTGAGTACATCTTTTGAATAGCATGCAATGGAATGGGAAGTATGCAAAGAGCACTACTGCTGCAAACTGAACTGCAGTAGGACTGTTCGAATTGTGAGCTGGACTGGTTGATCTTTTTCATGGAACAAAGTTTTTAGTTGAAAGAACGACTTACAAAACTATGGTTATTAAATCTCTGGTATTTGGCAGACATTTTCTGGAAAATTAGCAAAGTGAGTCTGTCACTTCAAAAACAACAGACAGTATTTGTTGCCAGTGACACAATGTGAGCTTTTAATGTGAATTTTGGAACAATCATATTGAATATGACAGTGTTCCAATACTCAAAGGCTTTACTGATGAGTTTGGTAATACTATTAGTAAATGTGGTTACTGTATAATGAAATGTATTAACATTTGGGAGATCTCACATAACTCACAGATCTGATTATTATCAAACCATCAATTCATGACATGGATAAATGATCCATTCAAAGTTCAAGACAGACCAATGGACTTTAATGTAGCAGAGTTTGAATAATTCATTGATATGGTTTCAGATCTACATTATAACTAATCTCTAGGAAACTACCACTTGTTGAGTTTGGGTATATTATCTAGAATAGCCACAATGATCTAGAGAGGCTATTAAAATGAACTAACCAGGTTGGAAGGCCTCACTAAGAGATGTACCGGAATGCCCCCTTCTCTTTGTAATGTGTTAAACGTACGTAATGGTTAGATTGCCATTGTTTGTAGATACTGTATTCTTTTATTATTATTATTTTATTTTTTATTTGTATTGATTTCAGAGAGGGAGAAGGGAGAAAGAGATAGAAACATCAATGATAAGAGAAAAATCATTGATCAGCTGCCTCCTGCACGCCCCCTACTGGGGATTGAGCAGGCAACCGGGCATGTGCCCTTGACCGGAATCGAACCGGGGATCCTTCATTCCTCAGGCTGACACTATCCACTGAGCCAAACCAGCTAGGGCTGTAGATACTGTATTCTTGATTCTTCTGGCATAAGAGTCATAAATGGATGTTTAGGATAGACTGAAAAAGACCTGAAACCCAGTCCTCAAAGAAATGTGTTTTTTTTTTAGGTTATCATCCCACCATTTCGTGACCCTTTGAAAAAGGCACAATATGACAAAGATGATGAAAAAAGAACTCTTCTTCAGTGTGAGACTGGTACGTAGTTTCCAACTGTTACGTGATTTCATAAGTCAAGAGCAATGACAGTTGCATTTAACTGTGCTAATTTATACTGCTAAACTTCTTGCAGGCAAAATACATACAATGAAAGAATTTAAAGAGATTGAGAAGGCCAAACTGTATTGCAGATTTCCACAACTTTCTAATTCAAGGTGCTTTGTGACTCCAAATGATTGGCTTAAACTGTCTGCAAGCTACATAGAAAGTGACTTTTGTAAAAGGAGCAGGTAATGGCTAATATTGTAGAAATTATGGAACCCATTGTGATTAGACAACTTTTTCTTGAGATAGTGATATAAATTTTGTCATTGTTATTATTTTTAAGTTTTTGGTTTTTAATGAGAAATCTACTGTAATTCTTGTCTTGGTTTCTCTGCATGTGATGTTTCTTTTGTCTTGGGTACTTTCAAAATTTTCTCTTTGTCTTTGGTTTTCATTAGCTAAACTATGATGTGTCTAGGTGTTTTGTCCCCTTTTCTTTCTGTTTATCCTATGTAGGGCTCTCTGAGCTTCTTATATCAGTGGTTTGATGTCTTTCATTATTTTGGGGGAAATTCTAGGCCATTATCACTTCAAATATTTCTTATATTCTATTCTTTTTTTTTTCTTCTGATATTCCAATTATACGTATATTAGAGCATTTGATATTGTCCCACAGCTACATAGCTCTTATATACTGTTCTTTTTTTTTCTACTTGTATTTTAATTAGACAATTTCTACTGACCTATCTTTTTTTTTCTTTTCTTTTTTTTTTTTTAAATATGGAACGCTTCACGAATTTGCGTGTCATCCTTGCACAGGCGCCATGCTAATCTTCTCTGTATCGCTCCAATTTTAGTATATGTGCTGCCAAAGCGAGCACTCTACTGACCTATCTTTAAGTTCACTGAGTCTTTCCTCAGCTGTGCCCCATATACTGAAGAGCCTATCAGAGGAATTATTCCCCACTGATGTAATGATTTTTATTTCTGTATTTCCATTTTATTTTTTATTTTTTTATAAAAATATATATTATTGATTTCAGAGAGGAAGGGAGAGAGATAGAGAGATAGAAACATCAATGATGAGAGAGAATCATTGATTGCTTGCCTCCTGCAGGCTCCCTACTGAAGGGGGAGGGTGGATGGAGCCTGCAACCTGGGCATGTGCCCTGACCAGGAATCAACTGAGACCTCCTGGTTCATAGGTCAACGCTCAACCACTGAGCTACACTGGCTGGGCCATGTGATTTTTTAATATAGTTTTAATTTATCCTAAAATCCTCCATCTGTTCATACATGTTATTCACCTTTCCATTATATTAACACATTATTCATAGTTATTTTAAAATCTCTGATAGTGTCAACATTAGGGTCATTTCTGAATCTGGTTCTGCTGATTGCTTTATCTCTCTCTTTTTTTAAAATATATTTTTATTGATTTCAGAGAGGAAAGCAGAGGTAGAGAGATATAGAAACATCAATGATGAGAATCATTGACTGGCTGCCTCCTGCGTGCCCCCGACTGGGGATTGAGCCCACAACCCGGGCATGTGCCCTTGACCGGAATCGAATCCGGGACCTTTCAGTCCCCAGGCCGACACTCTATGCACTGTGCCAAACCAGCCAGGAAGTGATTGCTTTATCTCTTGACAGTGGGTTATTTTATCTTGCCTTTTTTTTTTTTTTTTTTGCATTTCTTGTAATTTTTGTTTGACTGTCAAAAAGACCTGAAACCCACTCCTCAAAGAAATTTTTTTTTGTAGGTTATCTTGTCTTGCTTTTTTGGCATGTCTTGTGATTTTTTTGATTGAATACCCTTTTTGGACATGTTAACATGGGACACACTTTTGTCATTAATTATGTTTTATGCGCTAATCTAGATCTTTCCTATACCCATTTCTTTTTTTTACTCAAAACATGTCAAAATCCACATTTTCTGGGGAAAACTCATTCTGATAAGTCAGACCAGACAGATACTTTCCATGAGTTTTGGTGTGTGACCATTTGCGTGCTGAGTGTACTGAGTACGTTAGTTAGAAGAATGGCCAGGACTCTTGGTTTCACGCCACTGGAGCCATACTAGAAAACGATCCCTTTTTTTGAGGCTGTATACTGCTCACAGAGCCACTGGGAGGCCTTAAGAAACAGGGCTTGGTTTCAGGAACAACACCCAAAGCCACCGTGCAGAACTGGCAGGCAGAGGGGTGTGTTGTCTGTGTCATGATCAGGAAGCGGCAGGACCAGGCCGGTGCTGCTGCAGCTGTTGGCCTCAGAACCACACCAGCTCTGCTACAATCCGTGCCAGCAAAATGGGTGCCCCTCAGAGGGCCAGTATCAACGTTCCAATCCACTTCTGAGTGGGGGCTACACTGCGGGCTTCTAGGGCACCTGTCTGCCGCCTGTTGGCAAGGTAGCCTGGGCAGTGGAGAGTTTAGGTCTCTCTTGGAAACATTTTATATTTATAAATGACACAATCTTTATTAAGACTTTTTAAAAAAATATATTTTATTGATTTTTCAGAGAGGAAGGGAGAGGGATAGAGAGTTAGAAACATCGATGAGAGAGAAACATCGATCAGCTGCCTCCTGCATACCTCTCACTGGGGATGTGCCCGAAACCAAGGCACATGTACTTAGCCGGAATCGAACCTGGGACCCTTCAGTCCACAGGCTGACGCTCTATCCACTGAGCCAAACCGGCCAGGGCATAAATGACACAATCTCTATGGCCTCTTTTTACATCCTATATAATAAAAGGCTAATACGCAAATCGACCAAACGGCAGAACAATCAGTTGCTATGATGCGTACTGACCACTAGGGGCAGACACTCAATGCAGGAGCTGCCCCCTGGTGATCAGTGCACTCCACCAGGGGGAGCGCCGCTCAGCCAGAAGCCGGGCTCACAGCTGGCGAGCACAGCAGTGGTGGCGGGAGCCTCTCCCACCTCTGGCAGCGCTAAGGAGCAGCAAGTAGGTGGGCAGTAAGGAGTGAGGGGTCCCGGACTATGAGAGGGCACAGGCCGGGCTGAGGGACCCCCCTCCCCCAGTGCATGAATTTCATGCACCGGGCCTCTCGTTAGAGTATAAACCCCCAGTGGATAGGGAGTGCGGCAAACTTTGCCTTGCCAAGTAAGTTCTCAGTAAAGAGTAAACCAGCCTCCATCCTGGTTTCAGCAGCTCTCACATGCCCGAGACGTCACACAAGTTTGAAGTGATGGTATTTTAGGTCAGCGGTCGCCAACCTTTCGGACCTCACGGACCACCAGTGGTCCACAGACCACCGGTTGGTGACCGCTGTTTTAGACAATATACACAGCGTCAAAGGTTAACAGTAATTTCTGAAAGAGTATATCCGGTATTGTTTTTGCAAACATCCTCACACATGTTGTCTTGTTAAAGGTTAAAAGTGAAGAGTAATTTCAACGCTAGCAGTTTTGATTTGAAACACGTGACCAAAGCGCCTCATCTTCCGGGATCCCAGGAAGGAGAAAAAGCAGTTCTTTGCAAGTAAGCCCGTTCTTCCATAGCTCGGCCCTTCCTTTACTTAAGATGCTTGGCTGTGTTTCCACCCTTTGCCATCCTTTCGCGCTGCTGGAGCCAGTGCCCAGGTGCCAGGATCCTGTGGCGCGACCCCAGGCACCTCCCACCCCGGTGCCTGGGTGCGGTGGCAGCTTTCTGCAGCTTGTCCTGGTTTTAAGGAACAGATAGCTAACACATTCAGAAATGACAAGCACAGACATAGAAAAAAAATTGTTAATGACTCGTGTAAGTTAAAAGTGACTTGAATTGAATTGGAACAGTAAAGTGTAACTTTGGACTAGTTTTGAGGGGTAGTAGCTGTTCCTGTTGGGTACCCAGAGTGAGGAGGTGTTATAAGCAGAGAAGTGGTATGTACTGCTGTGCGCATAACCTGGGGAGTCAGCTCCAGAAACATGTTATGGAGTTAAAAGAGATTTCTCTACGTGGTTACAGAACCTGTTAACTATCTGATTAAGTTATGGGATCCCCAGACATTGCTGGAGGGAATGTAAAATAATGCAGTCACTTTGGAAAACAGTTTGGCAATTTCTCAAAAGGTGAAACATGAAATTATCATGCGACCCAGCAATTTACCTCCTAGGTTTCTACCCAGGAGAAATGGAAACATTATTCACATAAAGACTTGTCCTGAGTGTGTGTTCTCGCCACGATATCTCCAAACTGCAAACAGCCCAAGCGTTGCTCATTCACTGGCGAATGGACAAAATGTGGTGCATTTATACAGGGCACGTTACTTGGCAATTAAAAGGAAAAGGAGTTCTAATACAGCATGGATGAACTTCAAAACCATTATACTCAGTGAAGGGAGGCAATCACCAAAGACTACCTATTGTTTGAGTCTCTTTATATGACATATGTTGGACGAGGTAAATCTATAGAGACAGGAAATAGATTATTGGTTGCCCAGGGCTGGGGCTGGGAATGGAGAGTGATTGTAAAGGACTGATGGAAATGTTCTAAAATAGCTCTGCAAATACACTAAACACCATTGGTGTGTACAATTCAAATGGGGTATAAATTACACATCAGTAAAGCTGTTCATGAAAAAAGAGACCCTAGCAAGGCAGGAGGGAAGTGAGCTCATATGCACCTGTTTAGGAGGCTGGCCTACGATTTTCTATTCCTGAAGAGCCTGGAGGGAAGCTGTAGCAGGTTCCCTTTCCCTTTCCCGAGGAGGCTCAGAGCTCGATGAATAAATGAGTGTGGCAGGAGCCAAGGGCTCTCAGAGATGCTTGATGCTGGCATGTCCAGCAGAGAGGCCAAAATTGCCTCGGGAGGGACTTAGTGATTTAAAGTAGAAGCAGGTGACTGTTGGGGGTGGGGCAGCCATGAAGTTTGCTGCCTGTGGATGGGAACTGACATTGAGGGGTAATAGGAAGTATTGAACTATGCCCCACTCACGCGTAGCTGCAGCCTTCAGAGACAGAATGACCCAGAATCTTGTATATTAGGGTCCAAAAGAGTAAGTTCCTCCCCTATCCCTAACCACTGTGGTCTTATACAGACCTATTTGGGCCAGGTTTTAGGGTAATGAACACCTTCATCCTATTTCATTTCTATATTTATACTAATAAAAGGGTAATATGCTAATTAGACTGGACATCTTCTGGACATCCTTCTGGACAAAGCCATGGTGGCGGGGGCTGAGGCAGAGGTGGTTAAGGGCGATCAGGCCAGCAGGGAAGAGCAGTTAGGGGTGATAAGGCTGGCAGGGGAGCAGTTAGGGGGCAATCAGGCCAGCAGGCAGAGGCAGTTAGGGGGCAATCAGGCCGGCAGGCAGAGGTGGTTGGGGGCGATTAGGTAGGTGAGTAGTTAGGAGCCAGTGGTCCCAGATTGAGACCTAATCAGGCCTAAACCAGCAGTCGGACATCCCCCAAGGGGTCCTGGATTGGAGAGAGTGCAGGCCGGGTTGAGGGACTCCCCCTCCCTCCCCCCCTCCATGCATGAATTTTGTGCACTGGGCCTCTAGTATGCTATAAAAGGAGGAGGGAGTTTGTCCTCAAATACCTCTTCTAGCAGATGAGCCCCAGACATGAAGGAAAAAATGGCATTGTTGAAGCGTGCAGGGCTTATATTTTAGCCTAGAAGTGTAAGTCTACGAACTCCCCCCGGAAGAAAGAGGAGGAAGTTTAGATTCTCTCCCACAAATAAGGGAGGCATCCCAGACTTGGATCCGGGTGGAGAAGGTATGATTGTCCTCAGAAGAGTTAAACCTGCCCAGGGGAGGCCCAGGGTCGGCCCTGTGAGAGAGGTCACTTCCCCTGAAGGACCCTGACTCAGCTGGTGAAACAGCAGAGAGATTTCAGGTGCAAAGAAGACTGGAGCAAGGCGATGCTACTTATTTGGATTTCTTTTTCATAAAAGTATGCAAATTCATATAGAACGCATCTGCAAACTGAAATAAAAAATTAAATGCTACACTTGAGCTGATCGTGGAGGGGACCCTTTCCTCTCTGGCTCCTCCCTACAGAACCGAAGGGTTATGCTCTCTGGAAAAAGGACCGCTACATTCTCAGCAGGGAAAGCGTCCCAGTCCGGAGGAGGCCAAGGCTGAAAGGCCCTCCTTGAGCCTCAGCCTGAAGGCAGAGCGGAGGGAAGACCAGGATGCGGTGAGAGCTGGGGAAGTCCCGGGCCATGACACCAGGCAGCAGCTGGGCGATTCTCCCTGCGGCAGGATTTCAGGGAGAGAGGAGGCAGCGGACTCCCCCAACCCTCAGACAAAGGCAGGCCAGGGAGAGAACAGGAGAGGCCGAGGCAGGCGTCCCTGATCCAGAGGGAATGGAGTTGCGCTGGGAGCTACACCTGGGGGTGCCCTCCGGTGGGTGGACGGGAGGGTTTTCCCAGCTCCCTCCTCAGTGCCCTCCTCTCTCTCCACCACCTCTACCATCTCTGCCATCTCCCACTTGTCACACGCAGGCGAGGCCCGGCGTTTTGTTCCTCATAATTCAGCCAGGATAGAGAGTTTTCAGAAGGACCATATACTAAATTAAAGTAGTAAACTTTACCGAGTAAAGTAAAAGCCCTAAAGTGTAAAATGTATAGAAATATAGGTGTTTATAGAGAGCAGATTTCTCATCGTAAGGCACTCGTTAAACTTGGTGCAGGACCATGGGGGGCGGGCGGGGATCCACAAATATCACACACAGTAGGACTGGCTGTGGCCCCAAATCTCTGCCTGGTTCTGAATCCAGGTAGAGTGAGGGGAGGCTCAGGACAACATCTCGGGGCCGTCTCTGATCCCCGCTTTCACTCACTGGCCGTGTCTGGGAGGTAACGGCTGTGGCAGTGGGTTGGCCTCTCAGGAGGTTCAGGTGGGAGCCCTGCCTGCTGGACCGGCCGCTCAGCTGGGTCGGGGGGACTGCCCTTCAGGTGGACCAGCTCAGCTTAGCCCAGGAGCTTTCTGCTCTGTAAGCCCCTCACCCCTCTTCCACACCTAACGCTTCTGTGAACCTTCACAAGGTTTCGGCAGCCAAGGAGCACACACCCTGACCCTGGACTGGCCAAGAGGACACAGGAAGGTTGCTCTTGGAGGAAGCCACCTGCCAGCAGGCATCAGGGTGAGGACCACGGGAGGCGCTCAGGGCTGTCCTGGGTCTGAGAAAAGCATCTGCAATAAACCTCACTTGACGTTTGAGCTCAGTGTCTGTGTGAGAACTGAGAAACCACCTCCGTGTATGGACCCTTATTGGAAATGTGTTTCCCCAGAGGCTAAGAAGCATCGCTGAAAGGTGCAATAGGAATCAGCAGCTCCCTTCCCGAGGGCCATCTCGGGGCTCGGTCTCCCCCGAGGAAGGGGCGCTGCCTTTGGTCGGGCCCCCTTAGGACCCACCCCCCCCACGCTCTCCCCAGGCGTCCCCCGCAGTCCTTGGGAAATGTGAACATCCACTGAGATTCCCAGGTGCGGGTTCTGCTCTGCGCGGCCCCTGGCTCCTGTGGAGTTTGACTCCAGGCCCAGGAAGACACGGAGGACCTGGAGGCTGAGGGCGGGGCTCTGTGTTCCTTAGGCAGAGGCGACACTAAAAGCCCCTCCTCCCCTCCAGTCTAGCATCAGAGACACTGAGCCCCGGAAACAGTGGGTCCCAGGGCAGGTCAGTGGCGAGTCCAGCCGAGGCTCGCGCCTCCTGAGCGCTCTCCCACCGCCGGTCCTTGGTTTCTCCCACCGTCACCGGAAGGAAACTTGGTTCCATTATAAGCAGCCGTTCACGTAGGACAGTGATGGCGAACCTGACACGCGTGTCAGAGGTGATACGCGAACTCATTTTTTTGGTTGATTTTTCTTTGTTAAATGGCATTTAAATATATAAAATAAATATCAAAAATATAAGTCTTTGTTTTACTATGGTTGCAAATATCAAAAAATTTCTATATGTGACACGGCACCAGAGTTAAGTTAGGGTTTTTCAAAATGCTGACACGCTGAGCTCAAAAGGTTTGCCATCACTGACGTAGGAAGTCAATTGGTCAAGCTCCAAGAGAAGTGACGTTCATAAACGTATAGTTTTATTCTCTTTCTGTACATATTGGCAATGATAAAGCTTAAAGATGCATGTCCTATGAAATATGCAAAAACAAGGAATTTACATAAATAATTTATACTTCAGAAAATTAAAGTTGAAAAATATTTTCCACATCATTAGCGTTCACAGTATTTAAAGTAAATCAAGCTTTCCCCCTTAGATTTCCAACTACATTGTCTCAGCAGAGAAGGATAAATCTGACCAGGAGCTCAAGGATCAAGCCTGGTTTTGTTCAGTGCACAAGTGGACGCTATGTCAGCATCAGGCTGGCCCCGCGCTGCGGGCCGCAGCCTTCCTCCCAGTCCTCGGCCTCCTGAGTGGCTGTGACCAGCAGAGGTCACAGGGCGTGGAATGGTTACAGCGTCACCAAAACCGCCCACAGTGGACACATTCAACCAAGTGGTAACGTCTGGTGGTCCGATGCCTCAGCTCCACATAATACTTGTTATAGCCCTGAAAATGGAAACCGTGGCATCCAAACACAGCCCAACATGTTAGCACTCATACAAGGCACCGTGCCGCGGGGTTCGGTTTACTCATAGGAAAGGTGTTTGCATAGATGGCTAGCGATTTAGTGTGCGATAAACTATAGAGGCCCCAGCGCACGTGCGGCCTTGCGATGGATGAAGCTGAGTGACCTCCGTCCTCCACGGGGCAGCACCACCGTCTTCCCAGCCCCAGCCCAGGGCAGACGCCCTCCCGAGGCCCCTACAGGAGAGTTTTTTGCTCAAAAAGCTGCAGGTCAAAGCGGACCCAGACCTCCCCGGTGGGGACCTCGTGCAGCAGGAGTCGCCGGGTGGTAGGGCCTTTGCTTTCCTGTTCTGTTCGAATTTTCGCCACTGGAATTTCAGTCCGACCCAGGAAATCTGGTGAATAAACGCGAGAGTCAGAAGCCTTCTTGATAAAGCTGGTGAAGAAACTACCCCAGGAGTTGTGTCTGAAACAGGATTCATACAACTTTCAAATCCAAAACAAGCCACTCCCTCTGGTCCCGGGCTGTGTGGACTGAGTGGACGCGCGGTGAGGACGGGCGCGGGGAGGAAAGCCGCCTGCCTGGAGCCCTTGTCTGGTCGGGAACCTCTCACCCTCCAGCAGGTGCGCGTGGCACAGTTTCTGTGACCCACGTGGGGAGTGACGGGGTCAAACCCCTGAACACCCCGAGGCTGCCCTTCCCGAGGAGGCGCCCGCACAGCTGCCAGGCGAGGGAGCCGTGCGGACGGAGGGTCTGTGGGAGGCAATGCCGGGTGCCCGGCTCTGACCCGAGGGCCCGAGTTCTGGACGAGTCATACTTTACCGTCTGGAGAGAACTGGTCCCTGTCGAACATGGTGAGACACAGCACATCTTGGTGCAGGTCCTTAATGAAGAACTGGCAGTTGAAGTTCCACTTGGGGTTCAGTGTGTCCTGGAGGGTCCGGGTGGTGTAGCTCTGGGAGCCCATGCTGATTTCACAGTATGGGTTGCTCTTTCCTGAACCACAACAAACAAGGACACAGATGGCACGTGTCAGGTGGCACAGACCGGGCAGCCGGGGGCGCTGCCGGAGGGCCCGTGTCTGCCTGTGGTCTCCCTGTCCCCCGAGCTGACAGGGCCATGACCCGGGAGTGACCGTGTGGGCTCCGGTGCCCCAGCTGCTCCCCACGAGCCCAGGCAAGTGTCAGTGCAACTTGCTTCGTGCTTTCTCCACCCAGAAGCACTGAGGGGAGGCACTGCGCTTAGGGGGAAACAGTGGTAATGATATTGGCCCAAAACCATGTCAGTGGCATTGGACACATGACTTTAAAACCATCCATTATCCGATGCTCAGAAGGGGCCTCAGCAGAGAGCGGGGCCGTCACCACATCTGTTGAATGGAAGAAGCATTTACCATTTGGTTTGCAGGCTTTTAATTCTGTAGCTTCAATGACATGCACCATCAGACGCCCGATGCCTGAAGTCTTCTGAGAGCGAGCTACAAAACAGGAAGACGAGTCACGTTAACTTCTTCTCTGAGAAAACAGACAGCAAGTGCAGTGGTGACGCTGAGCTGTTCATACTCAGAGTCGGTCTTTCCGAGCCACCTTCACACTGCCCAGCCTCACCTGCCACTGCCCCGGGCCCAGCAGACCAGCGTCTGGCTGCTCCGTGCCTTTGCCCGGCCGTGTGGCCTGTCATCTCGGCCCATTGGCACCCGACTCATCCTTCAAGATGCAGGTCCAATCTCACGCCTCACCACCCAGACCCCCTCCCTCCTCTGAGCTTCCATTATCCCTGGCTTCTGAGCATCCCCCAGCGGCCGGGCCTGTAGTTCTATGTTTATGTCCGTCTCTTCCGCTAGGAGGAGCTATTGCAGAGCGCAGACTATTTACTCACCTTGTATCAACCCCTCCACGAACCAACAGACAGTAATATTAATAAAATTATGGCACATTATATTCGCTCAGCAGGTGGATACCTACTAACATTTATTGGATACTTACTCTGTGCTAGGCATGTGCCAGACCTTTGTGTAAGTTATTGAAACTGCACGGTTGCCCCATGTTAAGGCAGCTCTCTGTAACGGTCATCTCCATTTGTGAGAAAACTGGGGCGTGGGAAGGACTGGAGCCTCTCACGGCCCAGAGCTTCTAAACGGCAGGCCGAAACTTAAACATCAGGCACCAAAGTCTATTTCCTTAAGTGCTGACCGCACTTCCAATGATACGTAAACACTTCAGCTCACAAGGCAGTTTCGCTGAAGACTGTATTCTATTTAAGGAGGTACTAAAAATGCTTTTCATACGGAGAGAAATAGTCCGTGAACTCAATCTACCTTAGTCAATATGAAGCTAGTTAAGCAGGTTTTGTTCTCAGGGTTGTAAAAAGACGAACAAAAAGTCTGCTTGGCAAACTATTGATGTTTACCAGGGCAAGGAGAGCCTGCTCTATAAGCAGGTGCCCGCCTCTCCTCGGTGCCCACTCCAGGTGGGCAGGGCTGGGACCTGTTCAACGTTATAGGCCTGGTTAAGGCTCGCATGGGGCCTGGCACAGAGTAAGTAATCAATAAGTGTCTGAAGAATTAAACACGTGGAAGATGCGTATGGACAGGTATTGATGTTAAGCAACACTAACATGGAAAAACTTTGATTTACATCTTTGACCAATTAAGAGATCTTTGTATGCTTTATAAATGATTCAATCATTGATTTCCCAATAGCAAGCCTTTCAAATACCATTAAAACAAGACACAATTAGTAAAAGCTGAGTTACACATACCTTTCAGGAGTATGTAACAAAATAAGGAAAACCTGAATAAAAAAACATAAAGAACTGCAACTATAGCGGCCAGGGAGACACATGGGGGGACTGCCTGGAAGAGGAGGCAGACAGGGTTTCAAAGGTGAGTTGTTCAATCAGGCAACGGTACGGGCCCTGAGTTTAGGGTAAGAACTTTGGCCTTAACTTGGGCAGCAACAGGGAAGAGGTTTAAGGAGGGAGAGAGATACTGAGAGCAGATCCTCCAGAAATGAAGGGGTGTGATGGGGCCACGGGGGACTCGTGCTACAGCCTGGGAGGGGGACTGTAGGGGCTGTGTCACCGGGAAAGGAAAGGACCAGGTAAATGGGAAAGAGAACAGTGGGGAACCTACGGGACTCAGCTGCTGCCCAGAGGAGAGGTGTGTGTGTATTGGGGGCAGAAGGTGAGGGGCTCCGGGAGGCCCAGGAGGTTTGAAACAGCCTCAGGGGGAAGAGCAGCTGATCTGCAGCAAGTCTGGCCTTTCACTCCCCATCTACCCCTCACTGTCACAGCTGCGTCCTGAAGGTAAGGACCCCCCACAACCGCCCCCCCCGCTCCCCAGGGCCCCCTGGTGGCTGGTTCCAACAGTCAGAGCCCATCCGACTACCTTGATAGGCCCTCTCTCGCTTCTTCTTCTCCGTGTCGATGTACTGCTCAGAAGCGGCCTTGATCTTCTGCACCCAGGCAGTCCTGGGGGAAGCAGAGCACAGCCTTTGGGCAGCTTTCCCCGCACCTCCCAGGTCAACCAGGAGCCAAAGCCCGGCACCCCTCTCCTTTCCTTGGCTAACCTCGGCTTCAACAAGTTCCCAATCACAGGCTTAATATTCACTCAACTCAAAGATTCGTTTGCTAACTGAGGTCGAGCCGATCATTTCTAGACAGTCCTGACCACTTACAAAAGGGCAGGCACCGCTCTGAGCACTGAGACACAGCGGGCACTGCTCTGAGCTCTCGGACGTGGCAGGCACCGCTCTGAGCTCTCGG